GAGAATATTTCTCTCATGTCTCTTTGATTATTGTGTGGAGTGATGTATGAATGGAAAATACAATTGGAGCTTATTTATCCTAAAGCCATCCCTACCATTCCTCACCCCTAAGAAATGCCTACTCTCTGTCATTTCTGAGGCAGGTTCTGCATTCTTACCTTTGACTCCAGGAGTTTCCTTTCACTGGCCAATTTTTTTTAGAAGTAGATCTCTCTGTCTTAGCCTGGAAGCTCTGCTGAAACCTGTCCATCATGGGTGACTGCCAGTATTTGGAATATTGGTGGCATAGATTCTAGAATCACAATTAAACAAGCCACCACAGTGCAACAAACTGACAGATGAGTGGTGGGTTATATATTACATATAATTATATATGTTATATTATAGGATACTGGTAGTGGATAATGTTTGAAAAGGTAAATTAAAATTAACTTTAAACACAAATTTCTAGAAATGGTCAAGTTGTAAATATTTCTAGGAAAAAAGACTCTTTTCAATATCTTCACTATCCTCTCTGTTCATCAAGAAAAATGAATATATTTTTAGCATCTCTTGGATATAATTTGAAACTATGAGACACTAGAGGGTTAGTTCTTGGGGACCTTCAGAGGGGACATTTTGAAAACCACCCATTTTTACATAAAATTGTTATACAATCATGACCTGAAGTCATTCTAAGCAACAGTTGTGGGGAGAGTGCTCAGAAAATAGCTCCTAAGGAGGGAAAGATTCTTAGGCACTGATTGTACAAATTGTGTATGAATGATTCTATGAAGAAAAAAGAGTTTAAGAACCACTAATAACTTCAAAGAGATTTTATTATTTACTTTTCAGTAAATTCATGTTTTGGTGCCAAGCACGAAATGTCCACAACTTAAAACCTATGCACAGTATCTAAGTATATGTTTATCAGCCCTGGAACTGCCAAAAAGGCTATTAAGGTAGTGCTTTCCATGGTAAAGGTCTCCATCACCCCTTTTTTATTTATTCTTTTTATTTTAAGAGCCTGTTTTACATTCAACATTACGTGTACATTTAGTTTCATTCCCCATTTACTATGTCCAACCCTAACCCAGTCTCCTCCCCTCCCTACCCTGTAAACTTCCCCCTGTGCCCCTCATATTTATGCAATCCTGTTTGTCCTGCATTTCCTCAAACTGAATGTTGGTAACCTGGTGTCCCATGGGCTACTGCTCTAAGGGATGTATTACCAGAGAGTACGTGGGTGTGTCATCCTGGGTTGAGTGGTCTGCTTGTATATCTTGTTAACTATTGGGCTGAGAGCCAGCCCCTGAGGGTGCCTTTTATTCCAGGTGCAGAATGTATTCCAGGGCCACAGTATTGGGGGTCTCACCACATTTCATCTGACCAGTAATTCTGGTCATTATTGAGTTTTTGGATTTTGTTCCATGTTTTCCCTCCCACTCTACCCAGGATCTCCAGATTTGATCCTTTCCTGAGTGGTTGGCATTGGTAGCCAGGCATCAACTAGTTCTTCTGGTCTCAAGGGCCATCATGTCCTAAGGCTGATTGCTTCCAAATGCCCTTGTTTTTTCTTTTGTGTTCTTCGCTTCCGACACTAGGAGACCATTAGCTGCATCTTAGATGGGCGCTTGAAAGCTTTTAAGACCCCAGTTGCTATTCACCAATGTAGGATGTGGAGCAAGGCATTTATGTATTTTGTTGTGCCAATTGAGTCTGGTGCCTCCCAGTACTATGGTCCTGAGGCAGTAGACCTATTGGATCTCTCTCCTATAGTGTCTGGTTGTCTGTGAAGGATTACTCTGTGTCTGTCTTCTATTGTTTCTGTAAGGACTGCAGGTATTTTTTATCACTGATGTCTGTGTAAGATTAGCCTCAGCTGAATCTATCCTTGGTCTAGAGTATACTTCTGTTCACTGATCCCCATCTCATCATCTCAGGTGTTTATCTGTTTATTTGTAGCCTGGTGTTTGGTGTTAATGGCAATGCAGTATTGTGGACACATTGGTTGGTATTAGCATCTGTTGTCTATCTCTTATGTGCACAATTCGGGTCCTCCCATTTCCTGTTATCATAGTGGTTATAGATCCTTCCCATATATCCCTCCCCCTACCCATGTCAGCGTGTAGGCCACAACTATCCCAAAAATTAATCCCTCCCCTTTCTTCCCCATCCTGGTAACCTACAAAGTGAGTTCCCTTTCCCAAGCAAGCCCTTCTCTTTTTACAGTAATGGGCTCATACAGTACTTGTCTTTCTGTGATTGACTTATTTTACTCAGCATAATGTCCTCCGGGTTCATCCACCTTGTGAGATGATTCACATATCCCTCATTGTACTTTAATGTAGCATAGTATTCCATTGTGTGCATATACCATAATTTGGTTATCCACTCATCTGCTGATGGGCGTTTAGGTTGTTTCCATCTCTTTGCTATAGTGAATTGTGCTGCAATGAACATAGGTGCACATGTCTGTTTGTGCACTATCTCTCACCTCTTTAGGATATATTCCTAGTAATGGAATTGCTGGGTCAAATGGTACTTCTATTTTCAGTTTTTTAAGGAAATGTCATACCATTTGCCACAATGGTTGTACCATTTTACAGTCCCACCAGCAGTACACAAGAGTTCCAATCTCTCTGCAACCTCA